TGTAAGGATGGGAAGAAATGAAATAAGTAAATAGATAAATTTAATGTGTCTGTGTCGGGTGGTTGGGGGGGCCCTTGGGGCCCCTTGCCACCAGGTGCAGTCTGATATATTTGCTGCTCATGTTATCAGTGACCCCCCCCCCCCTCCTTCTACCGTGATTTTTACTGCTTCCTCTCCCCTCTGGTGGTGGCAATTTTCCAATCTTGCCGGGTTCCGCTACCAGAATGCGTTTTTTAGCCATCACTGCCGCCTGACGGTTTTTAGCTAATGCTATTTTGTGCCATAAATCCTGCTTGAAATACTGTATCTACCTGTCCTTTGGTTAGATAGGAGACATTTGGCTCTAGATGACCGCACATGCCCCTATATATCCCCTTGTTGTAAAACATAGGATTGGGTATCGTGCCTCGCCGACTGAGGGATAAAGAGGCTTTGGCGCTGTTACTGCATATGGGGTCATTTGAAGACGAATGGCACTTGTCGGAGATAGAGGGGTTTATATGTTGTATTATTTGCAACGATTGAAGGGTTAACCCAATGGGACAATTCACTGTAACTTCAATTCAAGGATTTAAAGTGGTTATCTAAATTACAAAAGGTCATTTGAAACCTTCATTAACCCTTTTTTCCTTGATCACCAAGATTACAAGGAGCCAATACTAAGCCTTGCTAAGGTCAAAGTCACCCAACAGTTCAGAATTCAGAACAGTCAGATATTCTAGCATCTCTAGGATGATACATACATTTTTTTTTAAGGAAGGTCAAGCACCAGGCTGATACAGTAACAGTCATTTACTGTCAACAGTACACATCACATCAGATTAAATCTATTATATTTTACCTAGCACAAAACATGAAAATCATTTAAATGATCTGGAAACATTTAACTATATATTGCTCTTGGTACAGTGACATGACCCACCTCTGGCCTTAATGACCTCTATAAATTTCACCAAACCTAATCACACACTCTGCCCTCTTAAATTGCACACTTACGCCGACCTCTTTAGCCCTCTTCCTTATAGTAGCTCTCAACGCGGGCGTGGGTCGCACACACAGCTTTTTTTTTAGCCCCGGGGGTGGGGGTTTTATACGCACACGCACACACACACATACACACACTTTGTCCAGTGTAGCCTGCCTGTTTGATACCAAGTACCTCCTGACCCACCCTGACCTCTCGCTTGTACACACACAGCCAGATTGCTTTGTGAAATAAAGCTGTCAGTTGCAAGACCCAAATAAAAAACAACCCTCCCCCCCCCCCAAGATATCCATGCCCCTGACACACTGAAAGCG